TGTACTTTCAATTGGTATCAGAGCAAGGCTCACATTTTACCTTTTGCTTAACAGCCTGTGAGAAAAGATCATGGCAAATCAAGTTATCATAGGAGCTCTCTTTCAGGAAGGAACTTCACAAGTTAGACCACTATACTTCAATGGACAATATTTCTCTCACTGGAAAGTACGAATGAAAATCTTTGCTAAAGCATATGATGTCAAAGTCTGGAGAGTCATCAAAAAGGGAAACTATCCCCTACCTGCTAGCACTCCACCTCTTGCTGATCCTGATGATATAGACTCATACTCAAAGGGGCAACTGGAAGCGGTACAAGTGAATAACAAGGCAAGAAATCTGCTTCACAATGCTATAAGTGGTGAGGAATACGAGAAAATATCGAGTTTTGATACAGCCAAAGAGATGTGGGATAAACTTGAGGTCAACTATGAGGGAACCAGCAAAGTAAAGGAAACACACATCAACATGCTAGTCCATGACTACGAACTCTTCTCAATGAAAGAAGGAGAATCCACTGAAGAAACGTTTTCCAGGTTTAGTAAGATAATCAGTGACTTAAAAGCATTTGGCAAGCCCTACACCAGTGGTGATCAAGTCAGAAAAATTCTCAGAAATCTGCCAACCACTTGGCAGACCAAAGTAGTCACTTTGGAATCTCAAGACCTAAACAAATTGTCCTATGATGAACTACGAGGAGAACTCATTGCTTTCGAAAGGACGCATTTGAAAAAGACAAATCAAGAGGAGAAAAAGAAAATAGTTGCATTCAAAACCTCTACTGAAATAACTGAAAATGAAATTGATGATCCTGAAGCTCTGCAAGAAGAGATTGCTATGATGTCTAGAAATATGGATGGGTTGATGAGGAGATACAAGAACACAAAGAAAGGAAGATTCCCACCAATACGATCCAGGCAATACAATGAACATGATAAGAACTATGGTAAATGCTACGAATGTGGAAAATTTGGACACATTCAAGCTGAGTGTCCAGAACTGAAAAGGAAGATCTCTAGAGGTTTCAACAAGAACAAATCCTTCGGAAGCTGGAGTGATGAGGACGACTCAGACCACGAAGAAATAGCAAATCTTTTCTTTATGACAATTCTGGAAAATGAAATAAACAAAACCTCAGGATGCTGGACAAATGAAGATGATTCAGATGATGAGAACTGTTTCATGGCACGGGGTGAAACTAGTGAGGTAAGATCTTATGACTGCGAAAGATGTAATGAATTGCAGGATATTCTTGACTCATCCCTAAAAGAGTCTCAAAAAATGATGAATGAACTTAAAAGACTCACTAGGGAAGTTAAAGACTGGAAACTCAAACATGAAGTATGTGAAATCGAAAAAAAATACTTCAAGAAGAGTTTGAGGAGTTGCAGATACAGCTTAACAGCTTGCGCAAATCCACCAGTCATAGTTCTGTTAGGTCAAACCAGACGACTTACAAGTCAACTGGAAAGGAACCAATCAGAACCAAGTCGACCAGTCGGTCGGACCAGATAACTTACAAGTCAACTGGGAAACAACTAGCTAAATCTAAGTCGGCTAGTGTAAATGCTTAATTTTTGCCATGTCTTTTTATTCTATATATATATATATATATATATATATATATATATATATATGTGTGTGTGTGTGTGTGTGTGTGTGTGTGTGTGTGTGTGTGTGTGTGTGTGTGTGTGTGTGTGTGTGTGTGTGTGTGTGTGTGTGTGTGTGTGTGTGTGTGTGTGTGTGTGTGTGTGTGTGTGTGTGTGTGTGTGTGTGTGTGTGTGTGTGTGTGTGTGTGTGTGTGTGTGTGTGTGTGTGTGTGTGTGTGTGTGTGTGTGTGTGTGTGTGTGTGTGTGTGTGTGTGTGTGTGTGTGTGTGTGTGTGTGTGTGTGTGTGTGTGTGTGTGTGTGTGTGTGTGTGTGTGTTCTTATTTGTGTGTATGTAGGTTTTGAGAGTTTTATTATGATTTAATTAAGAGAGGAACAAAACTTTGGGCTAGTGTTATTTTAAAGTGAAATGGGCTAAAAAATCGGACCAAATCATTGGCCCAATTGCACCAACCCAGACCAATTGATGGCTTGCCAAGACCCGGATCAAAACGACGTAGTTTCATAATAAAACTACGTCGTTTCACTAAATGAAACAAGATCAAATCTTACCCCTCCATTCCATCTTGATCCAATGGATCTCATTGACTCTTGGCCTAGGTATTTAAAGCCTCCAAAATCTGAAAAATTTCCCCATTTCCACCCATAATTCTTTTCTCTTTTTCTCTCTTATCACTCTCTCCCCCCTCTCTGCCACGCCGCCCCACCGCCGCCCATCGCCGCCGGCCGAAAATCGCCGCCGCCGGCGGCAACCCTCCAATCCACCCCAAAATTTCACCATCTCTTCCCCTCTTCCTCCTCTTTCTACCTATACCACTCATATCCTCCAAATCTCCACCAATCTCCGTAGATCTAAGCCTAACCGAAACCCTAGCCGCCGCCCATCACCCCAAAACTCCAAAAATTTTACACCACCGGCCTCCTCTTCTCCCCCTCTTTCCATATCTCCGACTCAAAAATCAAAAAAAACCCACGCCGCCCTAGCGCCACCACCACTGCCCTAGCGCCGCCGCCACTGCCGCCCACTGCCGCCCGTTTCTTTTCTCTAACCGGCCTCGAGCAAGGTTGTGTCGTTGATATTATTGAAACCGGACTCGGATTCACCGGAATTTTTTGGTTTCAAGAATATCAACAATAGAAGCTTGCTCGAAAGTCGTACCACTGCCTATCGTCGTCTCCCGGATGCTCGAGTATATGGTAAAATCGCAATCCCCGCCCCGTTATTAATTTTCTAATTTTTCTTTTTGTTTTGGGTTTTTAGTTTAGAGTTAGTTTCTGTCTTGTTTCTTTATTCTAATCCATTTCTGATTATGTTTGTCTTTGTTAAATCGCTTCAGCGATATCGTGCGTTCCGTTTGGCTTTAATAGTTAATTTTTGTTTGCTCATGTTGGTTCATAATACATGTGTTGAAATTTAACTACATGTTTTAATACTTGGTTTAATTTGAATCAATAGGTTGATATTGGTGTTGTTAAAATCTGAAATTTAGATATTTTGTAGGGTACTAGTAGCTTGCTTTAGTAGGGTGGCTGAAGTGACCCTTTGGCTCCTGCCATAGCAGATTTCAGGCTGTCCTTTCACCTTTTGGACAGCCTTTAGCACACAAATTTAGCCTCTTTTGGACAGATTTTTGTTGAACCAAAATCTGTCCAAAAAGTTGGCTTTTCTTTGCCTATTTAAGGGCTGCCCTTTCTTCATTATAAGGGACTGGATCACACTTCCATAGACATTTTTTAGAATTGCTTAAACACACAAAAACATAAAAAATTTCAGCAGTTGAACACATGAAAAGTAAGCTGAAATGGTGAGCTTTAGGAGTGAATCTTAGAGTGCAAACTTTTAGAAAAGTATAAGTCCTCTTTAGAGTTCGTTTCTGGGTTTCTTCTCGAAGTTTTCGGCTGTTTTAACATGGATTTGTTGCTGGTTTTCTGCTGTTTTGCTGCTGTTTTTATGCTGCTTTAGTTGCTGAGCTTCCATTCTTCGTCGTTGTATTTATTATTCTGCGACTCAGGTAACTCTTTAATCTTATGTTGCAGATATTTTCACATTAACAAGAAGATTGGAACTCATCTTGATTGTTGGGAGCATATCCATTTAAATAAATGAGTGCTTAGCTAAATTTCTTTATTGTTAAATATATCTTGTTGTAGTTCATATGTAAAAAAATAAATCCTTGGTTGATCAAACACTCTTTATTCATGTGTTATTCGTCTTTACTATCTATTATAGTTTTGATGCATATAAAATGAGATGTTTCAAGTAGGTTGCAATGTGCTTAAAGACTCCTTTTGCACCTTTACAATTCTGGCCAGTTTATGATAGGCTATTCTTTAAAGAAAAATAACAAAAGAGCCATGCTTGAAACCTTTATTTATTGTGATAAAATTCAGATTTTACATGTGACCATCTCTGCTAGGATTTTAGATTTTTTTTTTGGTAGAAAGTGGCTAGATCTTAAATAGGTGTTTGAAATTGCTAGTTAAAAATAAGGGTTAATGGCTTAGAACAAAAGAGGCCAGACTCGCAATTTAGCCCAGGTGGGCTATCTTAGTAAACCAGCATTTGAAATTCATTGGGCTTTCAGCTTATGCCCATTTTCGGAGCTCAATAATGGGCCAAGGCATATTCTGTCCAATAGGCCCAATGCCTTTAAGAAGTCTATAAATATTTTGTCCATTTATTTTATAGATGTTGGCTCAATACCATAACTAAATAAGTAAATTGGCCCACTTTCTCAATAAATAAATAGCTGGCCCATCTTCTAAAATCCATAAGCTGGCCCATTTCTCCTTTTAACAAGAAGTTGGCATATTTTTTTAAAAAAGATTGAGTTGGTCCAACATTTATTTGCACAATTTTTCCAACCATAAGGCTAGAAGATAATAATAGAAATCAGATTTCTGTTATTAATTAATTAACACATTTTCTTTTTTATTAGTTGAATTGCTAGGCAATCAGTAGGCACGCTTAAATCTTTTCATTCACGGATTCGCTTGCGTGGCGTGATATTTAACATTCAATAATTTAATTCACTAATCTCTTACTATATCTATAGTTTTAGTTAAATTTCTAATCCTTTCACCATACTCGCGGATTCGCTCGCGTAGCGCGATAGTAACTTTTTAATAGCGATAGTAACCTTTTAATAAATAATTTTCTCAAAAGCGCAAATACAGTAATTTTTTCTGAAAATAATAGCGTGCTAATAATCCTTTGTCATAACTGCGGATTCGCTTGCGTAGCGCTGTTACGACAAAATTAATAAAATTCGTTTTTGGTCGCATATTCGCTTTCGTAGCGCGGTTAGGACAATCTTATACTATATCATACTTTTTTTTAACAACTTTAATAATTAAAAGCGGATAGGTAAAACATGAAAAATACATATAAATCACAGTTTGTCCAAAATTAGCTCAAGCCAAGTTTTAAGTCAATAAAGCGACCGTGCTAGAACCACGGGACTCGGGGAATGCCTAATACCTTCTCCCCGGTTAACAGAATTCCTTGCCCGAACTTTGTTTTCGCGGACCGATAAAAATAGAGTCAAACTTTTCTTTGACTAGGGATTCAAATAAAAGGTGACTTGGAACACCGAAAACCAATTCCAAGTGGCGACTCTATAAATAAAATAATCCCTACTCAAATTTGTTACTTCAATTGGAAAAACTCTTTAACCCACCATAATATCCATACACATACATATTTTTCGGGGAGTAGAAAAGGGTGTGACAGCTAGTTCTAATACTTATGAACGATCTATAAACAGATCTGGAACTATATGTCATTACTGTAATAAAAGTGGGCATAAATATTCCAGTTGTCACTTTCGTAAATCAAATGTGTCAGGATGGGTCTGGAAACCAAAAAATTCTGAACCTAGTAATACTAACCCTCCAGGACCCAGGCAAGCTTGGGTACCTAAAAGAAAGTGATCATCTTGTCTTGCAGGAACACCACAGAGTAAGCCGCAAAGGACAATGGTATCTAGATAGTGCGTGTTCCAGTCATATGACAGGTGACAAAAACCTGTTCAAGGAAGTTACAAAGATCGATGGAGGAAGTGTAAAATTCGGAGACGATTCAAGGGGCAAAATAGTTGGCACAGGAACAATTCCCTTCAATAACAAATCTGACATTACTGAAGTATATCTCGTTGATGGCCACAATCTCTTGAGCATAAGTCAACTCTGCGACTCAGGATATGAGGTAAAGTTTAAAAGAACAGGTTGTGCTATTGAAGACGAATCAGGTAACATAATTCTTCCTGGAAAACGGTATGGAAATGTTTATATACTTGATGGTTTTGAAAAGATAGATGGCCACATTTTTCTATCCTCTATGTCTGATGATCCATGGTTATGGCATAGAAGACTTGGCCATGCCAGCATGCATTTGATTGAAAAACTGTCCAAACATGATTTAGTCATTGGCTTGCCTAAACTGAATTTCTCTAGAACTCATATTTGTGATGCATGTCAAGTAGGTAAGCAAACCAGAAATTCCTTCAAAAATAAAGATATAGTCTCTACTTCAAAACCATTACAACTACTTCATATGGATTTATTTGGGCCTACTAGAACTGCAAGCATAGGAGGTAAGAGATATGCGTTTGTTATTGTTGATGACTTTTCACGTTTCACCTGGGTAATCTTCTTGTCTCATAAGGATGAAGCCTTAAGAAACTTTGAAGTCTTCTGTAAAAAGATTGAAAGAGAAAAGGGGTATATGATCTCAAAAATTTAGAGCGACCATGGAGGAGAATTTGAAAGCAGAGCTTTTGAAGACTTCTACAACGATCAAGGATACACTCACAATTTCTCTGCACCACGCTCACCACAACAAAATGGGGTTGTGGAAAGGAAGAATAGAACTCTCCAAGATATGGCAAGAACCACGCTACTTGAACATTCATTGCCAAACCATTTCTGGGCAGAAGGCGTAAGTACTGCCTGTCACATCCTCAACCGTTGTCTCATTAGGCCAATTCTGAAGAAGACCCCTTATGAACTCTGGAAAGGTAAACGTCCAAATATCAGTTACTTCCATCCCTTTGGAAGAAAATGTTTTATTCACAACAACGGTAAAGATAATCTTGGAAAGTTCGACCCAAGAAGTGATAGAAGGTATTTTCTTGGTTACTCATTGAATAGAAGATCTTTTAGAGTCTACAACAAACGCACTTTATGTGTAGACGAATCTGTACATGTTATATTCGATGAAAAAATCCCTTGGTCGAGAAAGGAACTATTGCAGGTGACGAAGATCAAACTCAAGAAGCTCAGGACAAAAAAAAATCATAGGTGTCGACTAGCGCATCTGAGGTGATTAAGTCAACTGGTGAAAATAGCAGTGATACTCCAGACCCACAAATCGAGTTGACTACAAACATAATTTGACCAAATGAATGGAGAAGCGAACCTGAATATCCTCAGAAATTCATTATAGGGGATCCAAATGAAGGAATGAAAACCAGGGCTGCCCTTAAGAAGAAAGCAAATATTGCATTGATTTCTCAAATTGAACCAAAAAAGGTAGAGGAAGCACTGAAGGATTCAAGCTGGGTGCAAGCTATGCAGGAGGAATTAGATCAATTCAACAAGAATCAAGTGTGGAAATTGATACCCAAACCTGAAAATGTGTTTGTGATCGGAACAAAATGGGTATTTAGAAACAAATTGAACGAGGATAGAAAGGTCATAAGAAATAAAGCGAGACTAGTTGCACAGGGCTACTCACAGCAGGAAGGAGTCGACTATGATGAGACTTTCGCTCCAATAGCTCGGTTGGAATCTATACGAATTCTTCTGGCATACGCATCTTTTAAAGGATTCAGACTGTTTCTAATGGATATTAAAAGCGCCTTTTTGAATGGATTTATCGAGGAAGAAGTTTTTGTAAAACATCCCCCAGGCTTTGAGAACTCAAAATCTCCATACCATGTATACAAGCTTACCAAAGCACTGTACGGATTGAAACAAGCTCCACGTGCCTGGTATGAGAGGCTAAGTACTTTCCTTATTGATCATGGTTTTACCATAAGTAAAATAGACACTACTCTGTTTATTAAACGATCATCAGAAGGTAATCTCATTATTCAAATTTATGTTGATGATATTATATTTGGTAGTGCTAACCCTCTTACGTGCAAGGAATTTTCAAATCTTATGCAAAGCGAGTTTGAAATGAGCATGATGGGTGAACTCACATTCTTTCTTGGGCTACAAATCCAACAAATTGAAGAAGGAACTTTTATTTGTCAGACTAAATATACAAAAGAGTTGATTCAAAAATTTGGTATGAGTAATGCAAAATCAATTGGCACTCCTATGAGCCCAACGACAAATCTAGACAAAGATGAACAGGGCACCCAGTTGATGAAACTAAATACAGGGGAATGATTGGATCACTGCTATATCTGACAGCAAGTTGACCAGATATTATGTTCAGCGTATGTAAATGTGTCAGTTTCAGTCAGCTCCAAAGGATTCACATTTGACCGATGTGAAGAGAATCATTCGATATCTCATTGGAACTGTATCTCATGGATTATGGTATCCTCGCTCTAATTCTTTTAATTAGAAGGCTTTTCAGATGCTGATCTTGCAGGTGATAAAGAAGATAGAAAGAGCACAAGCGGCACTTGTCAATTACTAGGAAAGGCACTAATATCCTGGAACAGTAAAAAGCAAGCATCAGTCGCATTGTCCACTACTGAAGCTGAATACATTGCTATTGGACAGTGCTGTGCACAACTACTGTGGATGTCTCATCAATTGGGTGACTATGAGCTGTCCTTTAAACCGATACAAATCTTTTGTGATAATTCTAGTGCTATTTGTCTTTCAAAAAATCCTGTGCATCATCTAGAGCAAAACATATAGACATTAAGCATCATTTTATTAGAGATCATGTTCTTAAGGGAGATATAGAAATAGCCTTTGTTAGCACCTCTGCTCAATTAGCCGATATTTTTACTAAGCCTCTGTTACAAGAAAGATTTTGCACTTTGAGAAAACTGCTTGGTATAATTTGCTTTTCTAAAAACTCATAGGACCTATGTGCTAAATTACTTTCAAGTGCTATACTTGTCCTTTTCCAACACATTAATTATGCCTCCGATTTTTCCCCTCTCTTTTCACTTCGTACACATCAGTTCGCAGTTCGAAGATGGAAAGCCAATCTTCACGTCTTCTCAACTGACAACTTTT